AGAAAAACAAACATATTTATTTTTTATTGGAAAGGAAGATGTACATAGAGAAGGAGAGACTGAGAGGAAGACCTTCCATTGCTGATTCACTCCCAACTGGCCGCAAAGGACAGAGCTGAGCTGATCAGAAACCAGGAGCCAGGAGCCTCTTCCAGGTCTCCCACGAGAGTGCAGGATCCCAAGGCTTTGGGCTGTCTTTGACTGCTTTCCCAGGCCACAAGCAAGGAGCTGGAAGTGGAATAGCCAGGACAAGAACCGGCATGTATATGGGATCCTGGCGCATCGAGGCAAGGACTTTAGCCACTAGGCTACCGCGCTGAAACCCAGACGCAAACTTAATTAAAAAAAAAAATAAAGAAAGGAAACAAAAACTACCTTGCTATTAGCCCTCACTGCAACGAGACCTGTGGCCAAGACACCACTCTCCAAGTCTCCTTGCCCAGGTCTGCTCTTCTCAGTCACTGACCCACACATGTGTGAGGGCATAAACCCTGGCCAAAGTTCACCCCCGATACAACTACTAATGGTGTTCATATCCAAAATTTGCCTCCAGGTCATGGCAAATGAACTTGGACCCAAGATAAAAGTGCCTACTTATACACTGTTGGTCTATTAACATGTAATGTAATCACTGATATGGTAGGACTTGGATCTGCCATTTTCTTATTTGTTTCCCCCCACTGGGTGCCGTTTGTTTTTGGCATTTCCGTTCCTGCTTTCTATCATTCTTCTTGGTTATCTATTTTATAAAACTCTATCTCAGTGTGTCTAAGGGCTTTTTAGCTACATCTCTTTAGCTAAGTCAACATGTTTAGACTGAGCAGCTGTGCAAGCCCTTGCTTTTTACGATGGTTGTCAAACACATGACATCTATGATAGAAACCTGCAGAACGCAAGGCTGTCATTTTTGCTTTAAACATTTAGAAAATGTAAAGAAATTAACGAGAAAGAAAGTAAAACCACTGGTAAAGTAGTTCTAGTATTCTTAAAGGAAAATATTCTTAGTAAAAAGCCTAGAAAATGGAAGCCCTTAATATCATACCTATCACAACATTTGGATTCTTATAACTCCTAAGTAATTGGCTTAACTTTCATTATTTTTAATTTCTCGCTTTTAGACAAACTTTATCTAAAACCTTTCCAAGATTATATAAACAGCTTTAAAGAAAAAAAAAAAAAATCTCTTGGGCCCAGACCCAGTAGTCTAGTGGCTAAAGTCCTCGCCTTGCATGCTCCAGGATCCCATACGGGTGCCAGTTTGTGTCCTGGCTGCTCCATTTTCCATCCAACTCCCTGTTTGTGGCCTGGGAAAGCAGTCAAGGATGGCCCAAAGCCTTGGGACCCTGCTCCCGTGTAGGAGACCCGGAAGAAGCTCCTGGCTCCTGGCTTCAGATAGGCTCAGCTCTGGTCATTGCAGCCACTAGGGTAGTGAACCAGCCAACCGAGGATCTTTCTCTCTGTCTCGCCTTCTCTCTCTGAATCTGCCTTTCCAATAAAAATAAATCTCTTAAAAAAAAAAAAAACAACTCTGTGGTTTCACTTCTGCTTAGCACCTGCAACTTCAAGTAACACTTTCCAGCCCCCACCAAGTCACTGATGCTTCTCTCCAGTTCATCACAGAGATTAGTGACTTATATATAAAGGTCCTTCACTTTTAGGTACTGTTTATTTATTCATCGAAAGCCAGAAGTAACCGACCCTCCATATGCTAGTTCACTCTGTAAATGAACTTCAACAATGACAGAGAAGCCAAAAGGCAGGCGCTCCATCTGGGTTTCCCATGTGGAAGTCGGGAACCCCAGTGCCTGAGGCATTATCTGCAGCCTCCCAGCTGCGGGAAGCCCACGGGAAGCAGGGCAGGCCCGCATCCAAGGCTCGCTGCTCCATCCTGGACACGTCCCAAGTGGTAGCTTCACCTGCTGGGCCAAGATGCCCCCCAGAAGGCTCTCTGTATTAGCATATTTTTACAAAGTTGCAAAATTTGTTATTTACAATTTGTCTTTACTGTAAGACTCTCTGAGCATCTTCATTTCCTGTTTATTCCAACTATTTCTTTGGAGCTATAGCAATTTGGCAAGACTTGAGCAATAAACAAATCTGGATGCAATTGGGCAATTGTGTGGCATGATAAAGAAAGATGTAGATAAGTACAAAAAGTCTTTGGAAAACACAATCAAAAGTTTACCTCTGGTGCAAAAATCTTGAAATCTCTACAGTCTTTCCTTATATAGACTTTCCACAGATTGAAGCACACACATATGAATAATACGCATATGCAACCATGTGCATGGTTGTCAAAACAGCAATAAATTTTTATCTTCATACTCAAGATTATCACCCTGATGATCCCAAAAACTTTTGTGGAGTAACAACGAACCAAGAAAAAGATACTTGGTTTACAAAAATAATAAAAAGTCTAGGTTTTTGTGTAACAAACTCCTCCAACCCCATGACTTCCAAGTGATACATGCCATCTTTTCTTAATAGTTCTTACTAAAAGCTATAATTTCCAGATCATATCATCCATAAATCTGTAATGAGAAATTAAAGTCTTTCATTGATTAGTTTCACACTGCAGTGAGGAATGTAACCAAAGACAGAGTTGCTCTAACTTCAAAGTAGAGACCAGATTCAGTAATGGAGAATAAAGCCCTTCTTTGTTTTGTTTCAGTCCGCAAATTGATCCCGAAAGGTCTGGTGGGCTTAGCTGCAGATAAGATGAGGAATCTAGCTGGATTTTGGAAAACATTTTTATGTAGGCAAGCTAGGTCATGCTTATCTAAGTATTTTCTAATTGGATGCCTTTAAGTGATGCACTTAATGTAAGCCAAGATGTAAGAATGAAAGGACAAAAAAGTACAATACACTACTGAGGCAGTAGTGGGGAGGTGGCAGAGGAAGGGTGAAAAGTGACCACAAGTAGTCCACAGAATACTACTTAGTTAGAATCAAGTCCCATAATTACATTGTGGTCAAGCTGGAACTTGGTGTATTGTTAAAGTTTTGTCTAACTGCCGCAGCTTGCTTACTAAAACGGCTAGTTATGTTTGAATCCAAATATTCACTTAATGGATATAGCAATAATCAGATATTACCTACTGTTCTGAAAAGTGTGTTGTGTATCATTGCCTTTCAAAACTCACTTTCCTTTGAAAATTCACTCAGAACATTTAAACATACACAAGGCATTACATGTTTGCGTTAGAATCCATTTTCGCATTCACACACCTTATCAAAAAAATGCAGCACACAGTCTCTCACGAGGGTACCATGAAGAGAAATCCAGCAGCAAACACTGGATCTATTCAATTGCTGCCGTGGTTTACACCGATTCACACAGCACCAGAATGTCATTTCTTGGCACCTCCTTTATCAATCCATAAGAGCAGAAATACAAAGACATCTAGGAAGAAGTGTTAAGAAAAAAAAAAAAAGCATGTATGATTTCCACTGGCAACTGGAAAAATAATTCGAGTGTTTTAAGTGTCATGAAAGTGTCTGACTACAAAAATAAGTTAACAGTGAACATGACTAGTAATAGACTGAGGGGGTGAAGTGAGCTTTGGGCAGGCGAGGGTTGGAACAGGTAACAGTGGCAAGCCAGAGGACAGCCTTACACAAGGTGAAGGATGGGCCAGGAAGGGGGAAAAAAAAACCAGCCAAGATCTGCAAAGGGTAAACCGGTAGCAAGCTAAATCCAGCTCAGTTCTGGGAGCCGAAGCCCAGGCACAAGTGTGCACACACAACAAAACTGGACTGGGTGGGCAACATGTGAACTACCCCCACCTCCTCAAAACTGTACATGAGGCTTGTTCCCTTTCTATCAATTTGGAAAATTGTTTTAAAAAACATAAACTATTCTCAATTACAATGGAAGACTAACACATCTCTAGACATAGTTGTCTTCAGTCTGTAGCCTCATGTTTCAATTTCTAGAAATAAACTTAAGTCAAAGAAACTCTGCCATTTCCCCCTCCGACTGAGAAGCTCCAGCTGGACCGTGAAGTGGGAAGCATCTTGAGCTGGACACTGAATGGTTGGCGCATCAGGCACCCGCAGTTTCCACATGAGTTTCAACACCTTCCTTTCTGTCAACTATAGGCTACTTTTTCTTCACATTCTTATAGTTTTAGAAGCTTTTATTAAACAGAATTCCTGTCACCTCAACGGTCCTATCATTACCAGTTTACACTAGAAGTGGTACGTTTGGCACCATTAAACAACCAATTGTGATATGCATCAACTTAATCTCCAGACTTTTTCTCTTCACTATTGGCCAGTGTCCTTGAGCCTCTCCCAGCTGTGACAGCCCTCAGTCTTCTCATTTTTGAGGATCTTGGCATGTTCTGGTGCTTTTGTAAAACGGCCTCCCGCAGTGGCTGCCTGCTGCCTGCCCTCTCGGAAGCGCGCTGCAGTTGCGCGTACTGAGGAAGGCAGAGGCCAAGTTCCATTTTCATCACATTATATCAAAGGCTTATCACAGTCGATGTGGACCTTGATACCCCGGCTGAGGTCATGTTGACAGATTGCCCCACCATGGAGTGACTCCTGGCCCTCTGCTCCCCACTTCTCCATACAGTATCTTAGGAAGCAAATCAGAGAGGAAGAGTTGAGTTCTACTCTATGACCATGGAACATCTGCAAAAAACTACTTGGAATAACCTCACACTGATGGACCTTAATCACCGACTTGTACCAACACATACTTAGCCAGAACACACAAGATTTCTCTAGTTCTCAATTAATGGTGCTGAAAGGGCTACTGCAGCATGTATAGTGATGAAAGCATATATATATGTATATATATATATATTCTCATGAATCATGCCTCCCGATGTCCCCTTTCTTCTGTAGGTATGTAGGGAGCTATGGTTCAACATGGCTCTTCTGAAAATGCCAATTGGCTGTTCACCAAGAGCCCTGATCAACTCCTTATTTTGAAACTGGCATTAGCTAACTGTCCTTGCTATGGCAGGTGAAGAAGAAAGGCACAAGATGAATCTTTTAGGCACTTTTTATTTTCCAAAAAAATTGTCGTTAATATATAAACATCTCATTCTCTCAAAAAATTCTACAACTATACAGCTGTTTGCTCCATTATTTGCATAGGAAATGACCACAATACAAAAATAAGAGGGAAAAAGAAGCAAAACAGCAACCGATTTATGCTTTTCATGTAGGTATGTTTCCACGTATAAACATTTTGAAGCCTCTTACAAAATTATTTACACCGTTTGTCGTCTATTTACACATTAAGAGCAACTCTAACAAACAAAACTATAATTTATCAAGTTATGAAAATTGTTTTCTAAAAAAACGTACTATATTACCACAAAATAAATAAAGATAAACAATATTTTAAAAACAAAATTAAATTTTCATTTCAATTAAGACCCCTTTTGGCATTCTGCGTATGTATTCTGCCCTTTGGTTAACAGCATCAGCAGTTTATATTGCATATATGTAGCGCTTGCTTTAAGTTTTCAACATAGCATTTCTACTTAAAGGCAGACACCGAGTCAGTATAACAGATTAGCTAACTGCACTGTAATTTAATTAAATTACTGTGTCTCATTGTATAGTACATGCAAAATCCACATAAATTGTCATTTATCCAACAGTACTGCACGAGCAAACATTTCTGTATATGAAAACTGCATTCAACATTGCCATGTGAAAACGGCAGTCCTTCCTTCTACAGATGATACTGTGTTTAGCTTATTGTAAGAGGTTTAACTTTCATATACCGTAACTATTTTTTTAAGCTCTTCAGGTTACAATTCATATAAAACATCTTTTTGTATTTAAAATAAACACTCCTATTTTAATCAGTGCACAAAATTTGCTTTTTAAAGTTCATTTGAATGATTATTCTTTCCCCTTAAAGAAATTAATTTGGCGATGTTGAGAGGTATCACAAATTCAGACTGTAAATGTACTCATGGTTATTTTTCAAAAAGTATGATTTCCCCCCCCCAAAAGAATCTTTAAAAACTTGTAATAAACCTATAAAGCTGATCTGCATATTTACAAAATCTCAAATAGCAAATATAGGCAACTCATATAAAAGAACACAACAAGAACATTTGTTCAATGGCTATCATTTGTGAATTGCCAGGTCCGGGTACTGCTGCGCCCCTCTCAGAAATTAGCTATTCTCGAAGCATCTACTTGACAGTCAAGTACAATCCTGACCCCCAATGCATGCAGCAGCCTTCTCCAGGCGCCTGCCAGCTGCCTTGTTGACTAAACACTGGCGCCCAGGTGCACACTCGGACGGCGCCCCAGCCCCGCTGTGCCGCCACGTAGCTGCCCGCCAGGAGATGAAGCCGGCTTGGGGAAAGCCGGGACACGACAGCGAACATTCCAGGCTCCGACAATGACCAAACACTTTGGTATTCACACAATGGATTCCCTGTTTTCTCAAATATACAAAATATACATTTCCAGTTTTTTTCTTTTTTTTGATTCTTTTTTTTTTATAGGAACAGGTTAAGTTTGTAGCTGAAAAGGTGGCCGGCCAGGGGGTTGCGGAGCGCGGGGCGTCTGGCGCCGCTCAGTTCTGGTGCCTCTTCATGTGCAGGGCCAGGTGGTCGGAGCGCGAGAAGCTGCGGTTGCACACCGCGCACTGGAACGGCTTGGCGCCCGTGTGCTTCCGGTAATGGCGGGTCAGCTCGTCCGAGCGCGCGAACCTCCAGTCGCAGCCTTCCCAGGTGCACTTGTAGGGCTTCTCACCTAAGGCAAGCAACAAAGGGGGTGAGGGAGCTGGCTCAGAAGAGATGCAAGGCAAAACAGGAAAGCTCCCGAGTTCCACGATGAGCCAAATAAAATATTAACTCTCCTCCCTCTAAGCGATCTAGCGTAGTTGCATTCGTAGTAGTGTATGTAAGATGTATTCATCCGAATAGGTGTCTGTGTGCCGCCAAGGAACTGTTAATATGATCACTGGGCAAACGCAGGTATGTTTTATATTCTGGGTACTGCTTGAAATGCCTGGGGCCTAACTGTGCACACAACCAAAACATCTCATCTACTCAGTCATTCCCTATCTTTACTGGAACAGTGAGTTTATATTTGAGCCCCTCCTAGTCTACGCTTTCTATCATCCTTAATGGTCTCCACAGGCTGCTAACTGCATCGCTTTCAAAGCTACTAATAATAAACCCATCAATTTCAAAAGTCTTCCACCGAGAATTAATTAACACTTCCTAAGATCATACACTGTTACAATTCTACGAACATCAGTAGCTTCGTTGAGAATGAGATGAATGTGCAGGGTGTGACATGGGGGTTGTTGTTACCGCACAGCAGGTTAAGCCTCTGCACATCATGCCAATATCCCACGTGGGCATCAGTTTGAGTCGAGGTTGCTCCACTTCCAATCCGGCTTCCTGCTAATGTGCCTAGGAATGATAGCCCAAGTCCTTGGGTCCCTGTGACTCCAACTCCCCACGAATCTCTGGGTTTCCGTCTTCAGCCTAGCCCAAGTCCTGGCCATGCAGCCACCCGGAGAAAAAACCAGCAGATGGAAGAAAGTTTCTGTCTCGCCTATTTCAAAATTTATTTTACTTTTATTGGAAAGTCAGATATAGAGGAGTATATAAAGACATTAAAGATATATACATAATAGAGACAAAAATCTGTCATCTGTTGATTCCCTCCCCAAGAAGCCACAGTGGCTGCAAGCTGCGCCATTCTTCTGGGTCTCCGAAACGGGCACAGAGTCCCAAGGCTTTGGGCCATCCTTGACTGCTTTCCCAGGCCACATGCAGGGAGCTGGATGGGAAGTGGGGCTGCCGGGATTAGAACTGGTGCCCATGAGATCTTGGTGGATTCAAGGTGAGGACTTTAGCTGCTAGGCCACGCCACCAGGCCCAAAAACAAATCTTAAAATATATATATTTATGTAATTGGCTTACAGTTAAATTTTAAATGGGTACCTTTTTTTTTAATGCCCTAGGCATGAAACAGTTCTGGCAGCCAAGGCAGGCATAAAGCTAGGCTGAACAAAGGGCTGTCATCTGCTTTGCCCCTGACTAACGTAACAGCAACAACACAATAGCAGCACCGCGGAGGAGGCGTCTCCCCTTGCCCACTGCCAGGAGTGAAACCAGCACCTCTTACGATGCCCTCAAAATGAAAGCCCATCATCACAAAGAAAGCCAGAACGCTGACCAAGACATTGGCCCCACTTATTTCCCATGAAATGCCACCTTGACCTCCACCTGCTTTTCCTGCCTCGACCGAAGGCCTCTTTTTATTTTTGAATTCATTCCTATTAACTGTACTTTTAAAAACTGTACATCCTCAACTCTGAAAGGTAACCTCCCCTACCCCACCCTCATCCAGCAAACGCCAACTAGAAATTTAAGTTCACATACTCAACTCTTTAAGTGACTTGAATCTGACACAAATATTAATGCTAGCGAATGTAGCTAACATGTTTGCAGATGTGTTTACTTCTGTTTCTTGTGATAAATAAATCACAGAAACATATTGGCTGAATACTGTCATTCAATGGAAAGTTACTTCTGATGTCTCTGGCATGCAAAAAACTTCCTCAAGTGCCAATTTTAAAAAGAAATCACTCTAGTCTTGAATCATTAAATAGCAGAACTGCATTTTCAAAGTTTATTTAACAAACAAGGGACACCAGACTCTCTTTGTTTGCTATTTTTACTGGCTTTGTGGCAATAAACTGCACCAATATTTTTAAAAGTTTACTTTACTGATTAGTTGAAATACAGTAGCCATTAAAGTTCCTAAAACATTTGGGGTTTTACTCTGGATTTATGTACATCTATAGATTATTCAGCCAAGAATACTACCAGTGTGTGGGGAACATTAGTTTTTGGGGCCAAGTTTTACTATAAAAGCAATGACAACTACTCCCCTACTCGGGGCAGTTTCTATGGGATTTGTTCAAGTGTCAACACTGCTCAAGGAAAACATCGTGGAGGAAGCTGGTACCCGAGTTCTGGCCAAGCAGCAGTCCAGGCCTTTCTTCCCAAGCCAGAAACACTACACACTGTACTTCTGGGAAGCCCAGCTCACTTCCTTTACGTTGTGTTTCAACAGGCTAGAACTTCCAAAGTTTAATTGGATTTTTACAGAAACTCTTTCCAATATCACCAATTTAAAAATATTTAGTTAAGGCTCTTTCAACATCAATTGCAGTTTTAAGTTCTCATGCTGTTAATGTGAAATTTTGCAAAGGAAAAAAGAAAAGAAAAAAAGGCAAACTTGCAGAGCATGAAAACAAGCTTCAATTTTATCTCAAGTATGCGTTTTCTTGTTCAATTTTCAAAGCATAGGATTATCTTTGTTAGGGAACTACTAATCTTTGGCAAAAAAAAGTCCTAAGCTACATATATACATACTGTCCACACTGAGAGAGTGCCCCCCAGTAACATATTTATCAGCATGGGAAGCAGAACAAGAGCAATAGGAGGAAGAGGAAGCAGCACCAGCATCCCCAGAGCACACAGGCCAGGGCCTGGCCCAGTTCATTAGCCCACTCTGGCCTCACAATAACCCCACCAGTCCGAGGCAGAAAGGAGGAGTTCCACATTAAGATTCCTGGGCTGCCTCTCTTCCTTAATGTCTCTCTTAAATCTTCCATTAGCAAACACTAATACACTCCCTTTGAAGGCCTTAAGGAACACATACATATTGTTCACATTTATTTACAGATTCTAAGGCCACTTGTGAAGGTCAATTAACGAACAGCTTAATGGACTCCCAACAGAGGCCTTCACCCCTGCCTGTGAAGCCGGGGGCACACCCTGTGAGGGAACCTTCCAGAAAAGGTGCCGGGTCTTGAAAACCTTGAGTATTGGCAATAGTATCCAAAGAGTAAGCACCTGCTCATGCTTTCTGTCCCCGAGACCAAGAGGTTTGAAAACATGCCAGTCAATGCAAGCTAACTGTAAGGTATCCCCACCAAAAGTCTGACAAAAAAAAATTAACAATAATTCTTTTTCCCTCAGATGAACAGATAAAAAATTGATTGAATCTACCCACAAAGGAGCGGGAGGTTTCTCTGCTCTGCTGAACACACTCAATAGACTCAGGCGAGGCCTTTCCCTAGAATGTTCTACAGACTCTTGTCGCAGAAAAACACAGGTGGAAATTGTTTCTCTTGAACTAGTTTCTTTAGATAACTTCAGAAGTTCATTGCACCCTATTTGCATGTTTCCTTACTCATGACTCAAAGACGATCCAATCAATACTGATCAAAGTTAAACCCAAGCAGAATTAAAGGCACTGGTTTATTAAAAAGTTAGAATTAAGTAAGACTTGATCTCTGGCCTCAAGAACTTACACTTACATCCTGTGTGGGGATGTTAACCTCAATGTTAACCTTCAAAGTTTTTCAACAGTACCTAATCAACATTCAAAGAATTCTTCAAGTTCAAAAGCTTATTTCAGGAAAAAACTTTTTCTCACATCTCAAAATAATTTAATTTCTAGAGAACTGAACCTCCAAACTAGGTTTCCTACTGGATTTCCTTCTAATTTTAAAAATGGGGGTGGGGGGAAGGGAAAATATTGAAAGAAATTAATGGGAAACTACTCAAATAGACTTCTGAGAAAACCCATCTAGTGGGATAACAACTTTAGCTACTAATTCATATTTCTGAGTATCTTTGCCAGCAGTTTATTACAGCTCATTGTAGCAGATATCCAACAGTAGAAAGACTCACAAAGATTAGTAGTACTAATTAGTACAATTTCACCTAATATTTAGACCAGATTTTGTAAGTGCGACAAATGTGCCCACTTTGAAAACGTTACTTAAAAGAATATCTTAAAAAAAAAGAAATGTTCTTTCTTATGTCTGTCAATCCTTGTGCAGCTCTTCCTTAAAGTCAGAAACAGCCACACTGCTCCTAGCAAGCCTCCCATGAGGTCATGATTCCAACTTAGCAACCACTATGCAGCTTCATTTTGAGCAATCCTAAAGCATCCTTGCAACAAACAGTCCCGTCTGTGCTAAGTCTGATTAGTTATTTTTTCATTCATGAAAAAGTACACAAGGAAGAAGAGACTAGCGTGAGGCTGTCTCCTTAGTTTTCTGTGCCTCCCATCTGCGGCTGGGCTTTTGCTTAGCTCTGTCCTGCCTGGAGTCACGCAAATTATTATCCGGCCACATGTACCTTGGGTGATAACCAGGCTTTGAGCCTCGCTTCTACATGGCATTATCCATGCCAGATCGTACAGGGATAAACAAAATCTGTGCAAACAATTCTTTCCTGTAGAACTGGACTGCACTTCTTGGTTTGCCTTAAGTTCTCAAGTTTGGTCAAAGGAAGCAAGAGGCCTTCTCCTGGGGCCAGGGAGCCATGATCTGCACACACAGGATAATCTTTGGGTGCCTGAGCTATTGCTGCTTCTCAGAGTTCTCAAGGAGCACTATGATGAGTACCTAACCTGTCATGCACGGGATTAGAGACAGCAATTCTTGAGCTTTTGATAAAAAGCTCGGATCCCCTCTCTTACAACCAGCCCAGACTGACTTTAACAGTCAAGTGTCAATAAGATATTTTTTACCTTTTCCTAAAACCGTAACAATAAAAACAAAACTTTCCCTCGTCCCTGAGCACTACTGGATAGTGGTAGCAGATACCTTTTTCCGAGACTTCAACTTAAGGCCCAGTGCAATAGCCTGGTGGCCAAATCCTCACCTTGCGTATGCCAGGACCCCCTATGGGCACTGATTTGTATCCTGGCTGCTCCACTTTCCTTCCAGCTCCCTGCTTGTGGCCTGCAAAAGCAGTGGAGGATGGCCCAAAGGCGTGGGATCCTGCACCTGTGTGGGAGATCCAGAAGAAGCTCCTGGCTCTTGGCTTCAGATCGGCTCAGCTCTGGCTGTTGTGGCTACCTGGGGAGTGAACCCAGCAGACAGAAAACATTTCTCTCTGCTTTTCCTTCTCTCTATATGTATGCTTTTCCAATTTAAAAAAAAAAAAAAAATATTTTCGCTTGTATGGTTATCCTGGACCAGTAGATTTAAGCATTCTAAAAAATTATTCTTCCGGAACCCGGCACACCTGAAGCACATCTAACAATTGGAGTTGTCAAAGATACTTTTACCAAACTAGAACATTCCTTTCTTTCTAATCTCTCACCAGAAGCAAGGTACGTCATCAAGTAAACAGCTACTACATTCTATAGCTAAAAATACACACTGAAGTAAAACAAGAAATTATCTAGTGATGCGACACCTCTCACACTGGTTTTACCTGCGCAGCTGATGTCATCTCCAACTCGACAATCCCACTTGCTCCACTGAAGAACTCTCCCACACTAACCCAACAAAAGCGCAAGTACAGACTACCGGCCTTTGGATTCTCACAAAATCAGTCAAAAATGTTCACTGCATCAAATTATAACTTCTTAACCTTTGATAAGCTTTATCATCTCAGAACAATGTTTAATCAATTTCCTATGTAAATATTTTTCAGATGAAAGAACAAGTTCTAGAAGCAAAGTTTAATCTTCCCAGTGAGTCATTAGAAAGAAATCGTTTCTGAGCTTTCATGCTCACAAACTACCTTTCCTGGGCCTGAACCACTGTTTTTCCAGGAGCCTCCGAGGAAAAATGTTAGCGCTAAACGAAAAGGTCACCCTGAAAACAACGTACGGACAGTTAACTAAAACTGAGCTAAAGGCTAGACATGATACTTTATTCTACAGCTTTTAAACATGTATTCACTCAATTATCATGGGGTAGTAAATCTCACCCTGCAGCCTCTACCAATGAAACAAGTTACATATTTAACCAACATTGATCTATCTCTAGATTACTGTGATCACAACCCATTAAGGCCTGAGTGAAATTTTTCTCATATAGTTTTTAAAAAGCCTTTCACTCCTTTTGCACTGTTCCAAAAAAAAAAAAGACAAAATATGGGAATCCATGCACTTTACAACAGTGTCTTCTTCCCAAAATGTAGATGTGCGACTCTTCCTTCTACAGAGAATCCAGAACGCAGGGCTCCTCCAGGGTCCACTCTGTCTTCCTATTTACCATCTGCGCTCTCACGGGCTGCTCACTTGGCCTTTCCCTTGGTCACCGTGTGATGAGCTGCCGTGGGATCACTTCCCGTGCACAGAACAACCAGTGCACGGAGTGTGTGTGTGTGTGTGTGTGTGTGTGTGCACGTGCGATCTGTGAGCCAAGTAAAAGGGGCAATCACAATCTAAACATTCAGAAAATGTAATGAAAGCACTCAGATGTAAGCCGTTTTAATCGCTTGACTCATTTTAAAAAAGTAACATTTCAAAGTCATCACAATTCCTTTCCGAAGAAATGCTAGGATGCTTCACATTCTGCCTGCAAATCGGCAATCACTTCAAAAGTAATATATTCAATCTCATCAAAAGCAAGAGCATCACCACCATGCAGTATTCTAAGCCCCCTAATACACTGTCCACGTGGGAACGAGGGAGGGACAGAGCGAGCAAAAACAAAACAAACTATTAAATGAGAGAAATGGAAAAACTGTCTCATCTACCTGGGCCTTAAAAGGAAGAAGGAAAAAAAGCCTCTGCTGGCTTCACACTGGGGGGGGGGGGGGGGGGGAGATGCCATGAGCGCAGGCGATTTTAAAAGGCATTGTCTAGAAACTAGAAATGAGGAGAAACAACCTCCACGCTCTATGATTACCCAAGAACGGGTTTAGCCAGACGAGCGAGTCTGGTACAAACCCTCCCCAAGGCATTTGAAAGACTATCAAACAAAACTTTATTAAACTGGATTACATGGGCTCGCTCATTAGATGTCGAAGGCCACACTGTTTATGATCAGGTGGAAAGCTCTGTGCGTGGACCCAACGTACACCTAGGTTCTCCTTTTAGCTTATTAGCACGAGCATTGTTTAAGGCAGGCCACTATTAAATTTCTCTGCCAGCAGGTCAAGTTCCTGAATCCCAGATCTAAGTGAGCAGAGCACTAAACGGACAGGGTTGAAAGGCCATTTAGATACAGTTGGACCACTTCCCCGCAATAAGCGGCTGATAACACTGCTACATGCAATTGTACTCTACCTTTATTAGGGGACTTTAACCCCAGAAAAAGGGGTTCCTCCATTCCTATCTCCTGTCTCAAGGTCTTCCAAAAGAGAAAGAAATGCAATAATTCCAATAAATATCTCTAACTTATTTCTACTTCTCAAACTTCAGGAGAAAAGAAAATGTTTTTCAATGTTTTCTGGCACAGAATATTTCAGCGTTTCTATACGGAATGTTTTCCTGGCATGTCATTTTGATGTTTTTTTTTTTTGGTGGAGGGCTTAACCATAATTTCTATCTTGAGTTGTTTATATAATATATCCTTTTACATAATCAATGTCAAAATCTAAAAACGGCAGACCAAAACAACCATTCATTTCATGAATACAGGAGAGGCCTTTTCTTTAACAGCAGTTTCTCAAGTCTTGCAATCCATCACCATTGTCACCAAAATTATTCTAATTTTAATAAGGACCTCTTGTCACTGGGACATGGAGCAATCCTAGCGTGCACACAACGTCTGCAAGCATACTCCGCTCAGGACTATCTGGGCACTGACCTTTGTTCAAAAGCTTTTACTTTTTAATGCAGCAGTTAGAGATAACTACTTCATTTATCAAAACTCAATTTCCATAGTAACATCTAGCCTGGGGAGATTCAAGTCCTCACACTAATCCAACAACCATTCAAAGGAACTGGTGAATACCTTGGTTTCCATAGCAATGATGGGGGAAATAATACATTTTGCTAGGTCATTGCTTTTATTAGCAAACTTATTCTTTGAACTTTAGGTAAGACTGCATATATTGAAGGGGGAAAACGGTCACTTTATGTAAGCTCTTTGCTTTAGTGCCGTTCTTTTAAGAAAATTACAACTAGTAACTATAGATTCAAAAATAGTGTGGGCATGTAACTGGAAGCATTTCATGAAATACACCACCCTAGCTCTTTCACCTTCAAAAGGGTTGATATTTCGTTCCAAAATTAAGTCTCTTTAAGAGCGACAACCACAGATTTAACAAAACAAACACAAAATTAAAGGGGCTGTAGTTTTAAAAATACATTGTAAACTAAGATGAAAAGGATGCTAGATTCAAAGATGAAATCTCTCAAACATCCAATCTGGGCTGCGATAAGACGTAAAGTTACTCTCACCTGTGACCCCATTTCTGACCACCTGCGTTTAATATTCTAATTTCAGCCTTACCTTCCATCTAGTAAACATGTGAAACATATTTCACACTAAATGTCAAAGATAATGGAGACAGGCAACAGCAGGCAACAGCCATGGCGCACACGCTAGCTGCTTACAGTGGCTCTGGGGAAGCAAAATGATTTGCTGCGGAGGAAGAAAATGAACTTCATTTTTTCCTCCTCAAGACTGAAATAGCTGGGCCGTTAAAAAGTTTTCAAGTCCATTAGTAAACACGGCTGTTTACACTTTGGGGTGATTAATTCTAGGTGGGGTGACAGGCAAGGCCCAAGTTGAGGGAACAGCAGCCTTTCCGGGCCCAGATTTTCTCATTGAACTGCATTTTGAGCCAAGCCAGTGCTGAAAAGGTAGGCCATTAAAAAATAAAAGTTGACAGAAGAAAGAAGAGATCAAACACGTGTTGGCTTTTAAAAGGATGAATACCACTTACACTATTTACACAACTCCCAGTATTAACAAGAAAATTACATACCAGTATGAGTCCTCAGGTGAGCTTTTAAATGAGAAGACTTTGTATAAACTTTTGTGCAGCCTAAAATAAAGAGAAGAGCTCGTCATTTTGCAGATCCTTTTGAAATCTTTACATTTGATGATTCAGTGTTTAAAATCTGGCTTTAAAGAAGCAATCACTGGTGTGGGATGGGATATGTGAAGCGTCAGTTTTAAAAGTCTTTAAGCTCTCCCCCATTATCTTATTAGAGGAATAAAGTGATCGGTTTCACGTATCCCTTGAGCACGGAAAAAAAAACACATAAAATCAGGCCAACTACAAATGGAACATTTGTGCCTATATTCCAAGTAGGTATTTTACACTAGTAATACACAGTTCAGTGACTTAATAATAGCTACTACAGTGTATTTTTTTTTTAATTTAATGGCTCTAGAGCTGACAATGCTAAGCCATTATCCAAGATGACTGTAATTTTCTGCACTCCCACATTTCTTGTTTTTCATTTAGCATGTCATGCCATATCATGTACCACAGTCAATAAATTATGCCCTGTATTAATCATAAACTAGCTTACGCCAGCAACTTATAGCTCTATTCATTACTGTCATCAAATTATGTTTTTGAGCTACATTTCTCATCCCAGAATAGGCATATGGGATCAGAACCTTCTTCAAATCTCCCCTGTGGGGGTCTCATAGCTGTCATCAGCTCCGTGCCCATTTGGTTCCTAGGTGGCATGTTGCCCCTTTTCCCAATCTTTACAGGCACTTGATCTAGAGCTAAAAATTGTTAAGTTTTTAGATTATCGTAAAGTAGCAGTGTGTGAGAAATTCAAATTTTGTTACTCTAGAGGTCGAGTTTAACTCTGTCCAGAATATTCTAGACAGTTTAAATACATAATCTAAGCAAAAGACAACAAACTGGTTATACACCATGGTAAAAAGCACAGAAACAAGATACTTAAAGAACAAAACAGGTGATTTCTTTGGTCAATCCTCCTCCATAAATGTAAGGTCTGGGTTTGGAACAGGCAACCAAACACGAAACAGCAGCTCATTGCTGCTTCAACCAGGTTAATGACACGTACCAGGATAGTCGCAGTAGTGGATGCGACGCTTCTCCAAGTCGGGGTTACTCCTTCTGTTATATCTGACAGGTTGGATGTTGGGTGAATTGACTGGCAGGGTGGCGGGTAAGTTGGGATTGTGAATCGCCAGTTTGGAAGCAATCGTAGCAGCATAGGATGGCGGTGGGGTTAAATTCTGGAGCAGCTCTGCTTGTCTATCGGGACTTCCAGGCTCCGAGCTCGGCGGTGAAGGGGGAAAGTAAGTGGCCTGCTGTGGCAGAAACTGACTTGGCATGGTGTATGTGCAAGGGGGCATGCCCTGGAATTGTTTCATTGCAGTCTGTGGAACGGCAGAGGTGTGTGTGTTAAGGCCCGCCATGGCGGCAGACATGGAAACGTTGAGCGTGTCCATCACCGCTGTCTGGTTGGCAGAACTGGGCATATCTAGATCCGGTGTATTCAGGAGCTGGTACAGGTGGCCCTGCTGGGGAGGGACAGAAAGATGAAGATCTGGTGTAGGAAGTTCTTGCTTGATGAAAATATTGTTCACCTCTGGGGCGGCGGTCTGGTGGGAGCTGAATATACTGGTGAATTCGGGGAGGGCCTGGGTTGGGGCCGGAGGAGCGGCTGACGCATCGCCCTGGTGGTTGAAAATGGCAACAGGTTCGGTCTTGATGTGTGTCACGCACGTTGCTGGTCTCTGGGATTTGTACAGGCCAGTTCTCAGGTGAGTGATGTCGGGCAGGAAGACGTTCATGTTGATGCTGTAGGGTAGCCCTTCGCTGTCGGTGAAGAACTGGTCTACCACTGAGGCGCTGTCTCGTCTATATTTTTTATGCTCTGGAATTATTTGAACTGGAGGGAGCTGAGGTGTCAGATACTTTTCCATTTCACATCTTGTCTAAAAAAGAAGAGATACAAACACACATAATGCACCTGACTCACATCTCGGGGAGGGCTCAAGACCCCTCCTGTCCCCGCAGCCTGCTCTAAAGGATCAGGACAAACTCCTAAGTGTTACTTACAAACAGACCAGTTCTGTTTTGTCAACTGTGTAATAACTGGTTCATTGAAACTACATTTAAACACATACGTGTTAAAAATCACTTCTCCTGTCATTCCCAGACAAAAAGTTAGAAAAAAAAAATCAAGATGAAAAAAGGGGAAGCCAACAGAAATCCTTTTCCTTTCTGACGCAATAATAAGGACAACCAGGAATCCCGGCCCCATGACAGTCAAGTATGCGATTCAAGTCGGAAGGCAGGAGGGAAACACTGCCAAGCTACCTCAGCCCTGTCCATGTCACAGCGAAGTCTAACACTCTTAAACACACAGCCCTGTGAGAATCTTATTTGCAGAGGTTTTTTTTTTTTTGGTTTGGCTAGGCAATCAGCTATTTCTGTGCTTTTCCCTTGTTTACAGTTTAACGAAAGCCTAAATACAATGTTTTGAGCAAAACACAGTATCCACTGACACAAAACATTTTCATATTCAACATTTGGTCTAACAGTTGATTTTAATCAGCAGATTCTTTAATTGGTTAATATGATAATGAAATGTTCCTATTCATATCCCTATCTCAAACAGATCTTTAATTACCGAGGGGGAAATCACTCCCTGGGTAGCCGGGTGCTGGGTGCTAAAGGCCCCCGTGGGTGGGGAGGGAGCCCGGCTGCTGCTCACCTAGCAGTCATCCACAAAACATTTCCCGGGTCCTCCTCAGTGGGCCAGCGCTAAGTTCCCCCTCTCCCTAAAAAGCCCAGTCATGCCTCAGGCTCCAGCTAGCTCCCGGGCAGCAGGGCGAGGAACTCAAATAGCCAAATACTTTGCAAGCAGTTGACTTTGTAAGAACATGACCCGCAGCGCCTAACAAGGTGCCTCAACCTTGTCAGAGCCATCTTCTCTCCCACAATAACGTAAACTTTTTTTTTTTTTTGGCAATGTTTAACACTGAAGAGGAAATTCAAAGGGGAAAACACACACACGCACCCCCCACACACACACACTCGACTTGGCTCATGGAACTATCAACCGTAGCACCTTATCGGTAGACAGACAAGTCAGTTTCTGCTACCACTTAATTTCAAAAGCGTTTCTTCTTGGGACTTGAGCCCCTTCGGTGTGGATGAGGACGGGATTTCCCGGATAGGCACGATTTAAAAATAAAAACGAACGCCCAGTCATGTGAGTCACGTCCCCGACGAAACGCCACTGGCCTCTCGGAGCCCGGGAAAGGCTCAGGGGGGCTCAGCCCCGACTCCGAGGGGCGAGGATCGGATCTGGAAATAAACCCAGCTAAACCCTTCCCTGCACCGCGCTCCCGCGGCGGTTAGTGGTTTCTGATTTTAGCTCTTCCAGCTGTTTGCATGTGGGTATGCTTCCAATTTTTTTTTTTTCTTTCCTCGGGACAGGCTAAAAGTCCCGGGAAGTTTTTTTTTTTTTTTCCGGGCTATATGACTCCCTGCGTGGGCGAATGAAACAGGCAGTTGCTCTAATTCGGCTGCCGGGCAAGTGTAAGCGCCAACTGCCAGCTTTCAACGCGGCCCAGGAGGAAATTTACGCGCACACGCAACAACCACCACTCCCGGTCCATTCTACCCCCCGCCCCGCTCTCTTAATCTTTTTTTTTAAACTCAACGCCGCGATTCCGCCTTAGCTAACCCAACGCCCGTTTCCCAGGCGCGGCTCCGCGATCGCCAAGAGCAAGCAGGTGGAGCCACAGCGTACGAAACCCGAGGAGGACCCCTCCTCTCCCCGGCACCCCAAGCTGCGTTAGTGCCCAACCCGAGACGGCGGCGGCGATGGCGGGGGCAGGAGGGGGCGGCCGCGAGGAAGGCGTCCATTAAGCTGTGCGTAGGGTACAAGCTATCATCCCCCAAATGTAAGGAACCTAAGGTGTGTGAAGGTACTCCGTCCACCCCCTGCGCCTTAAACCTTCCTCGGAGAGACCCACGGAGCCCTCTTCCAGCACCCCCCCCGACACACACACACACACACACACACCCACACACACACACCACCCCTCTTTACACGCTGCGAAACGGGGTGCCCGGCCCAGGAGGGCAGCAGGGCAGGGCGGGGCTGGCCGCCCCGGGCCCCGCTTCTCCGGTGCGCCCCGACGCACTCCCCAGCCTGGAGCGGCCCCTGTCGCCCGCGCGTCGCAGCAGCGACGGGACACGCCCGAGCCCTGCGACCGGAGGAGAGCGGCTCTCCTTACCTGGACCAGCTCCTCCGGGGGCAGCCGAGGGCCCGCGGCGGGCGGCGGCGCCGGCTGCGGGGGCTGCGGGGGCGCGGGCTGCGCCTGCGGGTGGTGGTGCGGGTGCTTCAGCTCGTCGCCGGGGAAGAGCGCCGCATCGCGGGCCGGGTTCGCGGCGCCCAGCACCGGCTTGAGCTGCGCGAACACCGGCTCGTCCTGAGGGGCCGGCGGCTGAGGCACGGGTCCCAGGCGGGCGCTCATGGTCAGCACCCGCGTCGCCATGGGTACTCGGGGGGGCGGCTCCAGGCGCGGGACGCGGCGGGGTTCGAGTGCACTGTCCCACCGGTCGCCCACGCAGGCTCGGGCCGGCGAGCTCGGCGCGCGGGGCCGCGGTCGGAGGGGGACGAGGCTCCGGGCGGACCCTTCAGCCAACGGCGGGCGGTTCTCGAAGGCGCGCACGATAAGCCAAACTCTTCCGCTCCGCCGCCACGCGTAAACGCCAACGTCCTCCGGGCGGCCACTTTCTCCCGCCCCGCCCCACTCGCCCGAGCCCGCTCCCGCCTCGGTCGATGTCGGCGAGCGAACTAGGAGCGCGCGTACCTGCCCCGCGACTACTGACACTTGACGCCCGCCTCTATTTCACCCAACTCCGGCGGGGCGGGGCCTCGCGGGCTGATTGGCAGCGCCGCCGCGAATCCCGACGCCCCGAGGCTGGCCTGGCCCGAGAGATCAGCCTATGAGCGGAGAGAGCTCTCCCGGGAGCCCCGCCTCCTCCGGGCCGACCGCACCCCTCGCGGGCCACGAGCTTCGCGCGCAGGGCGGCCGCGCAGTTTGTACACAACTTCTCTGACAGATTGGGCCGGCCGAGCCGGGGGCGGAGGGAAGGAGCCGAGCAGCGGGAGGAATCTAGGAAGAGGGGGAATTGAGGGTGGAGACACGAGAGAGATCTCCCCGGACCGTGCCCCGCCGGGATTACGGAGAGACGGAGCTTTGCACGGCTGTAGGTGTTGTGCAAGGACCCGAAACTCGAGCGCTGAAACCCAGAATGCGGCTAGGTGGGGGCGCTGGGGTTATGAGAGATCGTTTGATTAAACGTGTGTATTTTTAAATATACAAAATGTACTTTTCTTAGTCGAAAACTAGGGGCGGTGTGATAAATTTAAGACAGCTCTTGCCTCTCACGTTTGTTTAGCAGTGGATATGCACTTAGAGCAGATCCGAGATGACCTGAATAAAAGGTGTAGAGGCAGACATTTAAAACAACAACAAAAAAAGTCTGACAAAAGGTTGGGTTTCTCCCCTCCCCACCCCCCGTCAGTATTTAAGAAACCAAAAAGTTTTCAATACACGTTTCTGCCTCCCATCCGTGTGGGAAGAAGTGGGGGGGGGGGTGTTGGGCCACATGAATTCTATTAAAGTTTTTAATAGTGAAATCCTGTTGATCCTATCTGGAACACAGACTCTAATTTAAGCACTTCACGACTAGCCCAAATGTGTATTTAAATAGACATTACATCTTTGACTTATTTTTGCTAGCACTGTGCTCAAAAAAAAAAAAAAAGGAGTTTAATGTTTACTGCACGCAAAGGAAAGCACGTCTCCCCGACCCAGTGACACCTTTTCCTACGAAAAGACAAAGCAGCCGCGAACATCAGACCCGCAGCAGCTCTGAAAGCCGAGAGCCCCACCGGTAGGAAAGAGCCAAACAGCTTACTGTCCATTTAGTATGTTATTATAGGGATAGCGTGAATTTTTGCCCGCAATCACCTAAGGAGACCACTTGCCTTAATTCTTAATGTTCTTGTGCATGATTTTATCTGGCTTATTGGGAAGCCGGAACAATAAACTGTAATCAAAATGTCTGCAATTTTACTACATAGGTGCATATGTTGTCAGCACACTGTTCCATTAGTTTTACATACACAAGAGCCTAATCATCACGTCACACTAAAACAGCTTTAATAATAAAAAAAAAAAAAGAGTCTCAGAAAAAAAAAACAACAACCGCCTTGACTTCAAAGTGTATACCTATCAAAGGCATGGATCTCATTTTCAATGTGTAGATTAAAAATAGGCTCCAAGTTTTAGCTGTGTTTACTGACTATTGCAAAAGATAAAATTATGCTGCAATCTCAATTTTTACCTGCTTTTCCTTTCTGTCTTGTTAATACATGATTCATTCTGGTAGCTGTGGTCGCTGCCTTCAGAGAATGGCTGATGGTTACTTTCATGTTACCAAAGTATTATTTAATAAGTGCTCTTGCAGATTTTTTTTTTTGTAAGCAAACAATCCCGTGCTATTCCCCTTCATCTTTGAAAAGCTGTCCTGATTTTCTCTAATGTCTAGCTGAATCGTGTAATTAAGTGGCTTAGAAACGGGTTACTGAATTGGTAGGGACTTCATGTAGCTTCAAAAAAAAAAAATCAACCTTGAAAGATTTCCACATACCTAATGCTGATAGCATCATCAAACTTGAAGATGATATCAAAAAACCATTGATAAAACCTTTTACTCTTTTCATTTGAAGGTAAATCATAAGGATTAGTACAATTTGGAATCTCTATATTCTCATTGGCTTTTCAACCTATCTGGAATTTTCCTTTTGTCTTCACCAGAGCCTCAGTGCTTCATGGACCTGTAATTTAAACCTAACTTTGCATTGCAACAAAATGTATTTATTCTACAAAAAAGATTTCTATAATTTCACACTTTCCCAGGATGTACCAGAGCTTTCCTGTTCTTTTTTTTTTTTTTTTTTAGCTTTCCTATTCTTAAAAAGAAAAAAACTTTCAGATAAATTTCTAATAAAATATTTTGGGTTTTGTCCATTGTTATTTAATCTTGTTAACATTTTTACATTTTCCCCTTTCTTCGTGAATATCAATTTGAACTTAGCTATGATTGAGTGTGAATACCTAACCCATTTACAGTTTTAAAGCTGAATCTATTCTCTTTCCTTCTTTGCTCAACTACAGAAGGCTCGATCTACATTTCGTCTCTGGCTTACAGACTCGTGGAGTGGGGCATCTCGTTGTAACGTTTCTCTGACATACCCAGCTCCGTAATCTCACAGAAAATAGCCTGCATAACCTTGTACACTGGCGTGGGCACTGGGCGGCGAGCCTTCTCGGATGAGTTTGCCATGCGGGTCAGAACCGGGGCAGAAACTGTCCACCCAGCCTCATTTCTGTTGCTGTCAACACAAACGGGCCAGCTGTACACTTGTTTCATCGACTTCACAAGAAGGGTTAAAACTTGATAAATATTTTTCAAATGTTCCAGGTTCCCCAATGGCGGGAAGCCAGCCTGTGTGAATGGACAGATCCTCAATTACTTTGAACTCTCTCTAGTTCTTTGCATTCCTTCCTGCTTAGTAGTGCTGTACCATCAGGGAAGATAGGAGAAAAAAAAAAAAAAAAAAAAAAAAAAAAACGTCAGGTTTCAAAAATCAATTAGTGGCCTGGCAGTGGTGAGTTAACTGAACTGTGCCAAAACAAGAGATTCTGAGGGAGAGAAATAAAAATGTTGAGTAGTCCAGTTAGGTGGGAGGGCAAGCAAAGAAGCAGCGTGCATGCTTCAGCCCTTAGTCACCGGGCAATGCTGATTTAGTCTTAGAATAAACCCCAAGTGTCACTATCTTTACGGGAATGGATATGCCTGAATGTGTGGGGGCTGAACAGGCATGCGGGCGAGCAGGGAGGCGGGTTTGAAGGAGGCAGTGGAAAAAAAAAAAAAGATAAATAGGTTCTGAATGATGAGATGAGAGAAATGCGAAGCTGGGGCAATGTTCAGCGAGAAGTCACGGCAAAAGACACACTTCACTTGTTTGGCAAAAAACATCAGGGAGATTTTGAAATGAAGAGATCTGACACATCGCAACCTACCACATTTTGTTCACTTTGGTGAAAAAGCCACAGATTTTTCCCTTTCTGTAAAATCGGAAACTGCCGAGTGATACGGGGCCACAGCAAAGAGCCAAGGAGGAAAAATCAAGTCGTTTTTGAGACAGCTAGCACTGTTCCTGCTGGTACAATTATGTAACTGAAAATGACATTTTGATATGTGTTCGCTGTCTACCCCCTGTTAGAGTCTGGATTTGTGGAAATGTAGAATGACTATCCGTTAAAACACTTCCTCTCTTTAATCTCATTGCTCCCATTAACGACAGCTACTCATGAAAAACCACTCTAAAAGAACAGAATGAATGGAAGCTTGACCTGAAAATTCCTCAGAAATCAAACTGTTTTGATGCAAACATTAAGATATACAAGCTGCCCTGCCCATTGCTTTTCTGATGAATAAATGTGTAATTTAGCAGACCCTTATTCTGAATTTGGTATAAATTAAAATGATGTCTTAATAACATCATCTAATTGTATTTTATCCCCTATTCCTAGTTCTGAAGAAATTAAATTTTATACTGAATTGTCACACTGCATCCTATTAATATGAACAATTACTGTGTGTCGATTGAAAAATCAAAATATTGATAGATACATTTTATATTGAAGTTTGGATTAAAATGTTCCCTTTACACAATAGTTCATAAAGGTCCCATTGTTTACTTATTCTTGGCCAATTCTCATGTAAAGCTCTAATAATGTACAGAAAACAGTAGAATTTACCTTTTGGAAAGACGGTGACTTCCCTTTCCACCTTGTCAGTCTAATAATAAACAGGCAAAAATGGCATACATCTAAATGCCTTGAATTAAGTTATAGGCCTGACAGGCTGTTGCTTAAACTATATAGTACTTGAATGCTGACTCTACACCTGACAGGGGAGCTTAAGAGAAAACTACTGAACCGAACGGGTTCTACCAAAAGGCCTTTTAGAACATTGGTGTGGCCACACCATCAGCATCACAATGAGTAGGGTGTTCAGCCAACTGCTGTTCCACTTATGACAAAAGTCGTGATGGGACTAGGTGCTGGGGCCCCCCGTGACCCTCGGACGCACGCTTCCACCTGTACTGTGTACACGCGGTGCTGAGTCAATGCCAGGCCTGTGCCTCGGTTTCCATTCACTGCTGAGAGTTGAATCAGTTTGCACATTCTCTAGGAAGGACAACAGGACAATTAGGATGAAGAAGGCTAAAAATCTGGTCATGAAAATAACGACTAATACTCCAAGAGATCTATGTACAATTTGTTGCTAGGGTTTCTGTTTGTTTGTTTCAAGATTTGTTTGTTTTTTATTGGAAAGGCAGATCCGCAGATAGAAGGAAAGACAAAAAGATCTTGCAGCCTGGGTCCAGTGCCGTGGCCTAGCAGCTAATGTCCTCTCCTTGAACGCACCAGGATCCCATATGGGCGCCGATTCTAATCCCGGCAGCTCCACTTCCCATCCAGCTCCCTGCTTGTGGCCCAGGAAAGCAGTCGAGGACAGTCCAATGCTTCAGGACTCTGCATCCCTGTGGGAGACCTGGAACAGGATCTGGGCTCCTGGCTTCAGATCAGCATAGCACTGGCCACTGCAGTCACTTGGAGAGTGAATCGTTGGACGGAAGATCTTTCTGTCTCTCCTCCTCTCTGTATATCTGACTTTCCAATAAAAATAAATACTTAAAAAAGGATCTTCCATCTGCTGGTTCAC